ATGTGGATTGCAGCCTGTCCCCAGTAAAGTGTGTGGACTCCCTCTGATGCTGACTCATTGTTGGCAAGCTCTACGTTTTTAACGTTACCCCAAGAGCAATGAAGGGGGGAAATTGTTTGAATCTGTGTGCTTGTGTAGGGGTGCTATGGGGAATCAACACATGGCACGGGAAGGTGTGGTTCACCCACACCTTGGTGGCTACAACAACGTCCGCTAAGGCTCCAGTGAGTATAAAGTGCGGGGAGCCAGGGAGCTCGGGGCAGAGTGTTGAGCCCGAGGCTGAAGCAACCGGTGAAGAAAGAAGGCCGGCTACGTGAGACCCTGGGACTCCTGTGACCGCTGCCCTTTGCAGGGCCGGCACAGCAAGCCAGTGGTGCGGCCCCAGAGCCCCAGAGTCAGAGTCCTTCTAAGGGCCGGTCTGGTCGGCAGGGTGCCGAGATCTGTGCCTAACCTCCCTTAGAGCCCTACCAGGAGGAACTGGGAGCCTAGAGCTTAGGCTAGAGAGCCTGGGTGTGTTCCTGAGTTATACGGGTGGAGGGGCCGCTACCCCTTCTAGTGTAACCCTTGTTAAGGTTTAAATAAATAGTGCTGCTTCTATTCTGCCGTCTCCGTGTCCTGGAACCCACTGCACTTGCGTCCTATGTCTGCGGCTGACGGAAGTGTGGGCGAACTATCGGCCTGGAATTTCCCCTCCCCTCTTGGTGACCTATGCGGCTGTGTTGAATCAAATTGGCTGTTTGTTTCGATTGAAAGCTTTGGTGACTGCAAGGGTTCACCTTCTTGGTCCTTTCGGTAAGGTCACCACGTAGAATGAGAATAAAAACGACAGAACAAAATAAGACGATGAAATTCTCACGACGTTTCGGCCACAACACAAGTAGCCTTCTTCAGGTGAAGGAACAGGTGAAGGAACACCTGAAGAAGGCTACTTGTGTTGTGGCCGAAACGTCGTGAGAATTTCATTGTCTTATTTAGTTTTATTGTTTTATTCTCATTCTACGTGGTGACCTTACCGAAAGGACCAAGAAGATAGGTCGTTTGTCTGTTGGCAAGCTGGAGATTTTTCAGATAGTAGCGAACCCCTCTTTGCCCCGGAGTTTATTATTTATTCATTCATTCCAATGGCCTTTTTTACGATCTCCATCTGCTGTTTACTGGGATGAGGTAGCACGCCGGTTCGAGGGTGCTATTATTTATTTATCGACTATGAAACAAAAAATATCGGCAAAATATTGTTATTCTTCTTTGGTTCTTTCGGTAAAGTCACCACGTAGAATGAGGATAAAATAATAAATTGATAAAATAAAATGACACAATAATATTCTCACGACTTTTCGGCCACAACACAAGCGGCCTTCATCAGGTGAAGGGACGAGACTGTCTGGTAGGACAGCGCTGGAGTGAAGAAAGCTAAAGGTCGTGATCTGAGCGTGGCTTTTTTCACTCCAGCGCTGTCCTCCAGACAGTCTCGTCCCTTCACCTGATGAAGGCCGCTTGTGTTGTGGCCGAAACGTCGTGAGAATATTATTGTGTTATTTTATTTTATCAATTTATTATTTTATTCTCATTCTACGTGACTTTACCGAAAGAACCAAAGAAGATGAATCCTTGCAGTCACGAAAGCTTTAAATCGAAATATTGTTATTGATATTAATTGTGGAAAAAGGGCCGTATGCAACAGATTTTCTATGGGATTAAGGTCTGGAGACTGGCTAGGCCACTCCAGGACCTTAATGTGCTTCTTCTTTGAGCCACTCCTTTGTTGCCTTGGCCGTGTGTTTTGGGTCATTGTCACGCTGGAATACCCATCCACGACCCATTTTCAATGCCCTGGCTGAGGGAAGGAGGTTCTCACCCAAGATTTGACGGTAGATGGCCCCGTCCATCGTCCCTTTGATGCGGTGAAGTTGACCTGTCCCCTTAGCAGAAAAACACCCCCAAAGCATGTTTCCACCTCCATGTTTGACAGTGGGGATGGTGTTCTTGGGGTCATAGGCAGCATTCCTCCTCCAAACACGGCGAGTTGAGTTGATGCCAAAGAGCTCCATTTTGGTCTCATCTGACCACAACACTTTCACCCAGTTGTCCTCTGAATCATTCAGATGTTCATTGGCAAACTTCAGACGGGCATGTATACGTGCTTTCTTGAGCAGGGGGACCTTGCGGGTGCTGCAGGATTTCAGTCCTTCACGGCGTAGTGTGTTACCAATTGTTTTCTTGGTGACTATGGTCCCAGCTGCCTTGAGATCATTGACAAGATTTTCCCGTGTAGCTCTGGACTGATTCCTCACCATTCTCATGATCATTGCAACTCCACGAGGTGAGATCTTGCATGGAGCCCCAGGCCGAGGGAGATTGACAGTTCTTTTGTGTTTCTTCAAATTGCGAATAATCGCACCAACTGTTGTCACCTTCTCACCAAGCTGATTGGCAATGGTCTTGTAGCCCATTCCAGCCTTGTGTAGTCTACAATCTTGTCCCTGACATCTTTGGAGAGCTCTTTGGTCTTGGCCATGGAGGAGAGTTTGGAATCTGATTGATTGCTTGTGTCTGTGGACAGGTGTCTTTTATACAGGTAACAGGCTGAGATTAGAAGCACTCCCTTTAAGAGTGTGCTCCTAATCTCAGCTCGTTACCTGTATTAAAGACACCTGGGAGCCAGAAATCTTTCTAATTGAGAGGGGGTCAAATATTTATTTTTCTCATTAAAATGCAAATCAATTTATAACATTTTTGACATGCGTTTTTCTGGATTTTTTTGTTATTCTGTCTCTCACTGTTCAAATAAACCTACCATTAAAATTATAGACTGATCATTTCTTTGTCAGTGGGCAAACGTACAAAATCAGCAGGGGATCAAATACTTTTTTTCCCTCACTGTACTGACGGCGATCCGGAGTCTGAGACCAGGAAAGGCACTGGGCAGAGATGATCTCCCAATCGAAATGCTGAGGGAGGGTGGCGTTTGTGCACTACAGGGGCATCTCACTCCTCAGTGTGCTGGGAAAGGTCCTGGAAAGGATTATTCAACATCGCCTTGCCAGGCACGCTGAGGAGAGGCTTGCGGAGCCCCAATGCGGTTTCAGGAAAGGACGGTCCTGCACAGATGCCATATTTTCTGTCCGTCTGCTGCAGCAGAGGTGTAGGGAATTCCAGCAAGACCTACATCTCTGCTTTATTGACCTGGTCAAGGCCTATGATACCATCCGTAGGCCTCGGCTGTGGGTTGTTCTTCGTGCTTTCGGAGTGCCTGACTCTGCTCATGATCATTAAGGACCTTGATCATGGTTGGCAGCCCCAGGTAAAACTAAAACACAAAGAGATGGGGCCTTGCCATCAGCCCCACCAAAACTAAGCACCTGCCTGGGTATTTTGTGCCACCAAACACTCCACCCAGTCAGCTCCCCCTTAGGCGATGGGGCAGTTGTGGAGAAAGTGGAGAGTTCCCCATACCTGGGCAGTGAGCTTATGACTGGCTCCAGTTTAACAGCAGAGGTCTCACTCCGAATCAGTCGAGCGGCAATATCTTTTCATCGGTTGCGTAACGCTGTGTGGAAGTTACCTGGTCTGTTGCTCCACATTAAGCTTCAGGTCTTCTCGGCCACGGTCATTCCCTCCCTTCTCTACGCTTGTGAAACGTGGACCCCCCTAATGGAACATCTTCGCCAGTTAGAAACATTTAGGCTGGCCTGCCTACGATCCATCCTGGGTTTAACCAGACTGGATTGTGTGAGGAGCTCACAAATCCTTGAAAGATCTGGGCACGGTCCCATCGGTGAGCTCCTCCGGCAGGCAAGGCTGCGTTGGCTGGGTCATGTAGCCCGCATGCCCAGCCACCGCATGCCGACACAGCTTTTGTTCGGCCAGATCGAGGGGGCTTAACGGGCGCGGCACGGGCTAGAGAAGAGATGGAGTGATGTGGTACAGGAGGACGTGGAGCTGAGTGGATTTGCCGATGACTGGTACCAGCGGTGTCAAGATCGGCCTCTGTGGAGGAGGCTCGTGAAGGATGCTACTGGGCAGTTGGAGGTAGTCGCCCTCCAACAACAACGGAGGGCGGAGGAGCGACGCTCAGAACAACGAGCGGAGCGCCGGGCGGCTAAAGCACAGCAGGTTGGCACAGTAGGGGGCACAGGTGGTGCATCAGCCAGTCAACCCATGGCACCTGGGGCTATCCCGTGACCTCCTGCACCTATCCTGGCACAGCAGTCAACCCATGTGTCCTGCTGAGTCTGTCCCGTGACCTCCCCCTGCACCTAGCCTGGCACAGCAGTCAACCCATGGCACCTGCTGGGCCTGTCCCGTGACTTCCTCCTGCACCTAGCCTGGCACAGCAGTCAACCCATGTGACCTGCAGGGTCTGTCCCGTGACCTCCCCCTGCACCTAGCCTGGCACGGCAGTTAACCCATGGCACCTGCAGGGTCTGTCCCGTGACCTCCTCCTCCTGCACCTAGCCTGGCACAGGCGCCGTGGTGACGTCACCACGAGTCGGTGGTGAATGGCGGCTCCTGTTGGTATTGGCAAGGTGGGGGTGGAAGTACAAAGAGCTTCACAGCTCATCAGATTCCTCCATTCTGGGGGTGGGGCGGGCCCGGCTTGGGAGTGAGCGGGGCCCGGATTGAGGGTGGGCGGTGTCCAGCTTGGGAGTGGGCGGGGTCCAGCATGGGAGTGGGCGGGGTCCAGCTTGTAGGTGGGTTGGGCGTCAGAGAGTGGTGGGCGGGGCCTCACAGTAAGATGGTGGGCGGGGCCTCACAGAGGGGGGTGGGGCCCGGATTGAGGGTGGGCGGGGTCCAGCTTGGGAGTGGGCGGGGTCCAGCTCGTAGGTTGGTTGGGCGTCAGATAGTGGTGGGCGGGGCCTCACGAAAAGAAGGGTGGGCGGGGCCTCACAGCGGGGGGTGGGGCCTCAGAAAGGGGGGGGGGGTTTGTACATGGCCTCAGAGAGAGTGGGCTGGGCGGGGCGACGGAAGTGACGTGCGGTGGTGCGGGGAGGGTTGGGGGGGTGCAGGAGGCGGCACCGGAAGTGAGGCGCTACAGTTGGAGACGATGGCGGCTGTGATGGCTGCTGTTGTTGCGTCTTCTACTTCGTCGTCTTTTGCTGCTCCTGCTGCTGCTGCTGCGTCGCCTTCTCCTCCCGGAGGTCTCCGTGGCGCGCTGGAGGCGGCCCTGGCCGAGCGCGTGGCGGCTGCCCGCGTCCTCGTGGTCGGCGCCGGCGGCATCGGCTGCGAGCTGCTCAAGAACCTCGTGCTGACGGGGTTTAGGCGCATACACGTGGTGAGTGGTGGTGGTGGTGAGTGATGGTGAGTGATGGTGGTGAGTGGTGGTGGTGAGTGGTGGTGGTGAGTGGTGGTGAGTGGTGGTGGTGAGTGGTGGTGAGTGGTGGTGGTGAGTGGTGAGTGGTGGTGAGTGATGGTGGTGAGTGGTGGTGGTGGTGGTGAGTGATGGTGGTGAGTGGTGGTGGTGGTGAGTGGTGGTGAGTGATGGTGGTGAGTGGTGGTGGTGAGTGGTGGTGGTGGTGAGTGGTGGTGGTGAGTGGTGGTGGTGAGTGGTGGTGGTGAGTGATGGTGAGTGGTGGTGGTGAGTGGTGGTGGTGAGTGGTGGTGAGTGGTGGTGGTGGTGGTGAGTGGTGGTGGTGAGTGATGGTGGTGGTGGTGAGTGATGGTGGTGAGTGATGGTGGTGAGTGGTGGTGGTGAGTGGTGGTGGTGGTGGTGAGTGATGGTGGTGAGTGATGGTGGTGAGTGGTGGTGGTGGTGAGTGGTGGTGGTGAGTGGTGGTGGTGAGTGGTGGTGGTGGTGAGTGGTGGTGGTGAGTGGTGGTGGTGAGTGATGGTGGTGGTGGTGAGTGATGGTGGTGAGTGATGGTGGTGAGTGGTGGTGGTGAGTGGTGGTGGTGGTGAGTGGTGGTGGTGAGTGGTGGTGGTGAGTGGTGGTGGTGGTGAGTGGTGGTGGTGAGTGGTGGTGGTGAGTGGTGGTGAGTGGTGGTGAGTGGTGGTGGTGGTGAGTGGTGGTGGTGGGTGGTGGTGGTGAGTGGTGGTGAGTGGTGGTGGTGGTGGTGGTGAGTGGTGGTGGTGAGTGGTGGTGGTGAGTGGTGGTGGTGAGTGGTGGTGGTGGTGAGTGGTGGTGGTGGTGAGTGGTGGTGGTGGTGAGTGGTGGTGAGTGGTGGTGGTGAGTGATGGTGGTGGTGAGTGGTGGTGGTGAGTGGTGGTGGTGGTGGTGAGTGGTGGTGGTGGTGGTGAGTGATGGTGGTGAGTGGTGGTGGTGGTGAGTGGTGGTGGTGAGTGGTGGTGGTGAGTGGTGAGTGGTGGTGGTGAGTGGTGGTGGTGGTGAGTGGTGGTGGTGGTGAGTGGTGGTGGTGGTGGTGAGTGGTGGTGGTGAGTGGTGGTGGTGAGTGGTGGTGGTGAGTGGTGGTGGTGGTGGTGGTGAGTGGTGGTGGTGGTGAGTGGTGGTGGTGGTGAGTGGTGGTGGTGAGTGGTGGTGGTGGTGGTGAGTGGTGGTGGTGGTGAGTGGTGGTGGTGAGTGGTGGTGGTGGTGGTGAGTGGTGGTGGTGAGTGGTGGTGGTGAGTGATGGTGGTGAGTGGTGGTGGTGGTGGGTGGTGGTGAGTGGTGGTGAGTGGTGGTGGTGAGTGGTGGTGGTGGTGGGTGGTGGTGAGTGGTGGTGGTGGTGAGTGGTGGTGGTGAGTGGTGGTGGTGAGTGATGGTGGTGAGTGGTGGTGGGTGGTGGTGAGTGGTCGTGGTGGTGGTGATTGGTGGTGGTGAGTGGTGGTGGTGAGTGGTGGTGGTGGTGGTGAGTGGTGGTGGTGAGTGGTGGTGGTGGTGGTGAGTGGTGGTGGTGAGTGATGGTGGTGAGTGATGGTGGTGAGTGGTGGTGGTGAGTGGTGGTGGTGGTGGTGGTGAGTGGTGGTGGTGAGTGGTGGTGGTGAGTGGTGGTGAGTGGTGGTGGTGAGTGGTGGTGAGTGGTGAGTGGTGGTGGTGAGTGGTGGTGGTGAGTGGTGGTGAGTGGTGGTGGTGAGTGGTGGTGGTGGTGAGTGGTAGTGGTGAGTGGTGGTGAGTGGTGGTGAGTGGTGGTGGTGGTGAGTGGTGGTGAGTGGTGGTGGTGAGTAGTGGTGAGTGGTGGTGGTGGGTGGTGGTGGTGAGTGGTGGTGAGTGGTAGTGGTGGTGGTGAGTGGTGGTGGTGAGTGGTGGTGGTGAGTGGTAGTGGTGAGTGGTGGTGGTGGGTGGTGGTGGTGAGTGGTGGTGGTGGTGAGTGGTGGTGGTGAGTGAGTGGTGGTGAGTGGTGGTGGTGGTGAGTGGTGGTGGTGGTGAGTGGTGATGGTGAGTGGTGATGGTGAGTGGTGATGGTAAGTGGTGGTGAGTGGTGGTGAGTGAGTGAGTGGTGGTGAGTGGTGAGTGGTGGTGAGTGAGTGGTGGTGGGTGGTGGTGAGTGAGTGGTGGGGAGTGGTGGTGGTGAGTGGTGGTGAGTGGTGGTGGGTGGTTGCGTGGGTGAATGAGTGGATGAGTGCGTTGGTGAATGAGAGACGACAATGTACTGTGTGTGTGTACTGTGTGTGTGTACTGTGTGTAGTGTGTGTGTACTGTGTGTGTGTACTGTGTGTAGTGTGTGTGTACTGTGTGTGTGTACTGTGTGTACTGTGTGTGTGTGTACTGTGTGTGTGTGTGTACTGTGTGTGCACTGTGTGTAGTGTGTGTGTACTGTGTGCGTGTGTACTGTGTGCGTGTGTACTGTGTGCGTGTGTACTGCGTGCGTGTGTACTGTGTGCGTGTGTACTGTGTGTGTACTGTGTGTGTACTGTGTGTGTGTACTTTGTGAGTACTGTGTGTGTACTGTGTGTGTGTACTTTGTGAGTACTGTGTGTACTGTGTGTGTATACTGTGTGTGTGTACTGTGTGTGCACTGTATGTGTACTGTGTGTACTGTGTGTGTGTGTACTGTGTGTACTGTGTGTGTACTGTGTGTACTGTGTGTGTGTGTACTGTGTGTGTGTACTGTGTGTGTGTGTACTGTGTGTGTACTGTGTGTGTACTGTGTGTGTGTACTGTGTGTGTACTGTGTGTGTGTACTGTGTGTGTGTAGTGTGTGTGTGTGTACTGTGTGTATACTGAGTGTGCACTGTGTGTGTACTGTGTGTGTGTACTGTGTGTGTGTGTACTGTGTGTGTGTATACTGTGTGTGTGTACTCTGTGTATGTATGTACTCTGTGTGTGTATGTACTCTGTGTGTGTATGTACTCTGTGTGTGTATGTACTGAGTGTGTGTATGTACTGAGTGTTCAGTGTGTGTGTGTACGGTGTGTGTGTGTGTACGGTGTGTGTGTACTGTGTGTGTGTGTACTGTGTGTGTGTATGTACTGAGTGTGTGTATGTACTGAGTGTGTTCAGTGTGTGTGTGTACGGTGTGTGTGTGTGTGCTGTGTGTGTGTACTGTGTGTGTACGGTGGGTGTACTGTGAGTGATTACTGTGTGTGTGTACTGTGTGTGCGGTGTGTACTGTGTGTACTGTGAGTGATTACTGTGTGTGTGTACTGTGTGTGTACTGTGTGTGTGTACTGTGTGTGTGTACTGTGTGTGTGTACTGTGAGTGTGTGTACAGTGTGCGTACAGTGTGTGTTCAGTGTGTGTAGTGTGTACAGTGTGTGTATTGTGTGTTCAGTGTGTGTACAGTGTAGTTTGTACAGTGTGCACCGCGTGTGCACAGTGTATTGTGTTACGATGTGGGTACAGTGTGTGTGTGTGCAGTGTGCACGGTGTACAGTGTGTGCTGTGTGTACAGTGCGTGGTGTGTACGGGGGGTGTACAGTGTATTACGGTGTGTACAGTGTGCACTGTGTGTGCAATGTGTGTACAGTGCGTGCGCTGTGTGTACAGTTTGTGCTGCGTGTACTGTTTGTGTACGGTGTGTGTACTGTGTGTGTTCAGTGTGTACTGTGTGCATGCTGCGTACGGTGTGTACAGTGTGTGTACAGTGTGTGTACGGTGTGTGCTGTTTACGGTGTGTGTACAGTGTGTGTGCTGTGTGTATGTTGTGCACGGCGCGTGTACAGTGTGTGCACAGTGTGCGTACTGTGTGTGTACAGTGTGTGCACAGTGTGTGCACAGTGTGTACAGTGTGCAGTGTGTGCACGGTGTGTACAGTGTGTGTGCAGTGTGTGCTGTGTGCAGTGTGTGTACTGTGTGTACTGTGTGTGCTGTGTACAGTGTGTGTACTGTGTGTGCACGGTGTGTGCTGTGTGTACAGTGTGTGTGCGGTGTGTGTTCAGTGTGTGTGCGTTGTGTGTACAGTGTGTGCACAGTGTGTGCACGGTGTGTACAGTGTGTGCGGTGTGTACAGTGTGTGTACAGTGTGTACAGTGTGCTGTGTACTGTGTACAGATCGACCTGGACACTATCGATGTGAGCAACCTGAACCGCCAGTTCCTCTTCCAGAAGAAGCACGTGGGCAAGTCTAAGGCCCAGGTGGGTGGGTGACGGTGGGTGACGGTGGGTGGGTCAGGGTGGGTGGGTGACGGTGGGTGGGTGACGGTGGGTAGGTGAGGGTGGGTGGGTGGGTCAGGGTGGGTGGGTTAGGGTAGGGGGGTCAGGGTGGGTGGGTCACTGTGGGTGGGTGAGGGTGGGTGGGTCACTGTGGGTGGGTCAGGGTGGGTGGGTCAGGGTGGGTGGGTCACTGTGGGTGGGTCAGGGTGGGTGGGTGACGGTGGGTGGGTCAGGGTGGGTGGGTCAGGGTGGGTGGGTGACGGTGGGTGGGTCAGGGTGGGTGGGTCAGGGTGGGTGGGTCAGGGTGGGTGGGTGACGGTGGGTGGGTCAGGGTGGGTGGGTCAGGGTGGGTGGGTCAGGGTGGGTGGGTCAGGGTGGGGGGGTAAGGGTGGGTGGGTCAGGGTGGGTGGGTGACGGTGGGTGGGTCAGGGTGGGTGGGTCAGGGTGGGTGGGTCAGGGTGGGTGGGTCAGGGTGGGTGGGTCAGGGTGGGTGGGTCAGGGTGGGTGGGTGACGGTGGGTGGGTGAGGGTGGGTGGGTGAGGGTGGGTGGGTGGGTTAGGGTAGGGGGGTCAGGGTGGGTGGGTCACTGTGGGTGGGTGAGGGTGGGTGGGTCACTGTGGGTGGGTCAGGGTGGGTGGGTCACTGTGGGTGGGTCAGGGTGGGTGGGTGACGGTGGGTGGGTCAGGGTGGGTGGGTCAGGGTGGGTGGGTGATGGTGGGTGGGTCAGGGTGGGGGTTCAGGGTGGGGGGTCGGTGGGGGGGTCACTGTGGGTGGGTCAGGGTGGGTGGGTCAGGGTGGGTGGGTCAGGGTGGGTGGGTCAGGGTGGGGGGGTCAGGGTGGGTGGGTCAGGGTGGGTGGGTGACGGTGGGTGGGTCAGGGTGGGTGGGTCAGGGTGGGTGGGTCAGGGTGGGTGGGTCAGGGTGGGGGGGTCAGGGTGGGGGGGTCAGGGTGGGTGGGTCAGGGTGGGGGGGTCAGGGTGGGGGGTCGGTGGGGGGGGGTCAAAGCAAATGCCCCAACAGTCTGTTCAGGGCAATCTTTGTGTGTGTGCGTGTGTGTGTGTCTGTGTGTGTGTCTGTGTGTGTGTCTGTGTGTGTCTGTGTGTGGTTGTGTGTGTGTGTGGCTGTGTGTGTGTCTGTGTGTGTCTGTGTGTGTGTGTGTCTGTGTGTGTCTGTGTGCGTGTGTGTGTGTCTGTGTGTGTCTGTGTGTGTGTGTCTGTGTGTGGCTGTGTGTGGTTGTGTGTGTGTGTGTGGCTGTGTGTGTGTCTGTGTGTGTCTGTGTGTGTATGTGTCTGTGTGTGTGTCTGTGTGTGTGTGTCTGTGTGTGTCTGTGTGTGTGTGTCTGTGTGTGTCTGTGTGCGTGTGTGTGTGTCTGTGTGTGTGTGTCTGTGTGTGTCTGTGTGTGTGTGTCTGTCTGTGTGTGTGTCTCTGTCTGTGTGTGTGTCTGTGTGTGGCTGTGTGTGTGTGTGTCTGTGTGTCTGTGTGTGTAGGTGGCTAGGGAGAGCACGCTGGCGTTCTGTCCCTCTGCAGACATCACCGCTTTCCATGATAGCATCATGAGGTGAGCCACCAACCCCCCCCAATCCCCGCCCAACCCCCCCCCCCCCCATTAGATTCCCACCCACGGCCACCATCACCACCATCACCACCACCGCCACCACCACCACCATCACCACCGCCACCACCACCACCATCACCACCACCATCACCACCATCATCACCACCATCACCACCATCATCACCACCACCATCACCACCATCACCACCACCATCACCACCACCACCGCCACCACCACCACCATCACCACCACCATCACCACCATCATCACCACCATCACCACCATCATCACCACCACCATCACCACCATCACCACCACCATCACCACCACCATCACCACCACCATCACCACCACCACCACCATCACCACCACCATCACCACCACCATCACCACCACCACCATCACCACCACCACCATCACCACCACCATCACCACCATCACCACCACCACCATCACCACCATCACCACCACCATCACCATCACCACCATCACCACCACCACCACCTTCACCACCACCATCACCACCACCACCACCATCACCACCACCACCATCATCACCATCACCACCATCACCACCATCACCACCATCACCACCATCACCACCACCATCATCACCACCATCACCACCATCACCACCACCATCACCATGGTGGCGGTGATCGTGATGGTGGCGGTGATGGTGGTGGTATCGGTGATCGTGATGGTGGCAGTGATCATGATGGTGGCGGTGGTGGCGGTGGTGGTGGTGATGATGGTGGTGGTATCGGTCATCGTGATGGTGGCGGTGGTGATGGTGGCGGTGATGGTGGTGGTGATGGTGGTGGTGGTGATGGTGGTGATGGTGGTGGTGATCGTGATGGTGGTGATGGTGGCGGTGGTGGTGATGGTGATGATGATGGTGGTGGTGGTGGTAGTGATGGTGATGGTGGTGATGATGGTGATGGTGGTGACGTCTTCCACCCCCCTTTCTCCCCCCCGCCCTCCTCCCCCCCAGCCCTGACTACAACGTCGACTTCTTCCGAGACTTCTCCGTCGTGATGAACGCTCTGGACAACCGCGGTGAAAACCCCTCACCCAGACCCTGGGCTCGAACCCAGACTCTCAGTGTCTCTGGCTTAGTGAACCCCACTGAGAGAGACACCCACACCCAGGGATTGAACCCAGACTCTCAGTGTCTCTGGCTTAGTGAACCCCACTGAGAGAGAGACACCCAGACCCAGGGATTGAACCCAGACTTTCAGTGTCTCTGGCTTAGTGAACCCCACTGAGAGAGACACCCAGACCCAGGGATTGAACCCAGACCCTCAGTGTCTCTGGCATAGTGCCATTGCGATGGTGATGATGGTGATGATGATGACGGTGATGGTGATGATGATGACAATGCTGATGATGACGGTGATGATTGTGACGATGGTGACGACGATGGTGATGATGATGACGATGGTGATGATGATGACGATGGTGATGATGATGACGATGGTGATGATGACGATGCTGATTATGACGGTGATTGTGACGATGATGATGATGACGACGACGACGATGATGACGTTGGTGATGTTGTCGGCGCTGTCTGCGGTGTGCGTGCCAGCCGCCAGGAACCACGTGAACCGGATGTGTCTGGCGGCCGACACCGTCCTGGTGGAGAGCGGCTCAGCCGGGTACCTTGGACAGGTGTCGGTCATCAAGAAGGTGAACACACAGACACGTACAGACACACACAGACACACACACAGACACACAGACACACACAGTTACAGACAGACACACACACGTACAGACAGACACACACACGTACAGACAGACACACACGTACAGACACACAGTTACACACACGCACAGTTACACACATACACACAGACACACACACAGACACACAGTTACAGACACACACACAGACACACACAGACACACACACGTACAGACAGACACACACGTACAGACACACAGTTACACACACACACAGTTATACACAGACACACACACAGACACACAGTTACACACAGACACACACAGACACACACACAGACACACACAGTTACAGACAGACACACACACGTACAGACACACACACGTACAGACAGACACACACACAGACACACAGTTACACACAGACACACACAGACACACACACAGACACACACAGGCACACACAGACACACACAGTTACAGACACACGAACAGACACACAGTTACACACATACATACACAGACACACACACAGACACACACACACATACACACAGTTACACACACACAGACACACAGACAGACACACACACAGTTACACACAGACACACATACAGTTATACACACACAGACACACACACACAGACACACATACACAGACACACACAGTGACACACAGACACGCAGACACACACAGTACACACAGACACACACAGACACACACACAGACGCACACACACACACAGACAGACACACAAAAGGAAAAAAACAAAGATCCCCCGTATAGCCTTAACAGACTGTAGGGGCAAGTGCTGTTAGCGAGCACCTATGAAGGCCGGAATGGTACACGAGGGGGTGAGTCTGTGTGTGTGTGTGTGTCTGTGTGTGTGTGTGTGTCTGTGTGTGTGTCTGTGTGTGTGTGTGTGACTGTGTGTGTGTCTGTGTGTGTGTGTGACTGTGTGTCTCTGTGTGTGTCTGTGTGTGTGTGACTGTGTGTGTGTCTGTGTGTGTGGGGAGCGATAGTGTAGCGGTTAGCGCTACGCTACGCTATGATCCTGGCGACCCGGGTTCGATTCCCGCTCACGGCCAACACCAGTGACGATTATCTGAACCGGTCCTGGGCCTTCCCTAGGTCGACTCAGCCTCAAATGAGTACCTGGTGCGGTGTGTAAACATCGCCACTAGGGAGACAAAGGCGGTCGGGCGTGGTGCTGGCCACCCACCCCCTCGTGTACCGTTCCGGCCTTCATAGGTGCTCGCTAACAGCACTTGCCCCTACAGTCTGTTCAGGCTATACGGGGGATCTTTGTCTGTGTGTGTGAGTGACTGTGTGTGTGTGTGTCTGTGTGTGTGTGACTGTGTGTGTGTGACTGTGTGTGTGTCTGTGTGTGTGTCTGTGTGTGTGATGTGTGACTGTGTGATGTGTGTGTGTGACTGTGTGTGTGTGTGACTGTGTGTGTGTGTGTGACTGTGTGTGTGTGACTGTGTGATGTGTGTGTGTATGTGTGTGTGTGACTGTGTGTGTGTGTGACTGTGTGTGTGTGTGACTGTGTGTCTGTGTGTGTGTGTGTGACTGTGTGATGTGTGACTGTGTGATGTGTGTGTGACTGTGTGTGTGTCTGTGTGTGTGAGTGACTGTGTGTGTGTGTGACTGTGTGATGTGTGTGCAGGGTGTGACTGAGTGCTATGAGTGCGCTCCGAAGCCAACACAGAAAACGTTCCCCGGCTGCACCATCCGCAACACTCCATCAGAGCCCATCCACTGCATCGTGTGGGCCAAGTACCTCTTTAAGTGAGTCACCGTCACCACCACCGTCATCGTCACCGTCACTGTCACCATCACCGTCACCTTCACCGTCATCACCACCAATACCGTCACCACCACCACCATCACTGTCACCACCACCATCACCACCACCTTCACCGTCATCACCATCATCATCACCACCGTCACCGTCATCACCACCGTCACCGTCATCACCACCACGTTCACCGTCATCACCACCAATACCGTCACCACCATCACTGTCACCACCACTGTCACCACCACTGTCACCGTCATCACCACCACCACCGTCACCACCACCTTCACTGTCATCACCACCGCCACTGTCACCACCACCATCACCACCACCTTCACCGTCATCACCACCACTACCGTCAGCACCACCACCACTACCGTCACCACCACCGTCACCACCACCACCACCGTCACCACTGTCACCACCGTCACCACCACCGTCACCGTCATCACCACCACCTTCACCGTCACCACCACCATCACCGTCACCACCTTCACCGTCACCACCACCTTCACCGTCACCACCACCTTCACCGTCACCACCACCTTCACCGCCACCACCACCGTCACCACCGTCACCACCACTGTCACCGTCACCACCACCACACTGCACTTGCCCCCACGTCACGTGAGAGGCTACCTGGGCGTGCTGTGTCTGTGTCACAGTCAGCTGTTTGGAGAGGAGGACGCAGACCAGGAGGTGTCCCCGGACACCGCCGACCCAGAGGCCAAGTGTGAGAGTTACCCCTAGTTACCCCCCTAGTTACCCCTAGTTACCCCTAGTTACCCCCCTAGTTACCCCCCTAGTTACCCCCCTAGTTACCCCCCTAGTTACCCCTAGTTACCCCCCTAGTTACCCCTAGTTACCCCCCTAGTTACCCCTAGTTACCCCCCTAGTTACCCCCCTAGTTACCCCTAGTTACCCCCCTAGTTACCCCTAGTTACCCCCCTAGTTACCCCCCTAGTTACCCCCTAGTTACCCCCCTAGTTACCCCCCTAGTTACCCCTAGTTACCCCTAGTTACCTCCCTAGTTACCCCTAGTTACCCCTAGTTACCCCCCTAGTTACCCCCCTAGTTACCCCTAGTTACCCCCCTAGTTACCCCTAGTTACCCCCCTAGTTACCCCCCTAGTTACCCCCTAGTTACCCCCCTAGTTACCCCCCTAGTTACCCCTAGTTACCTCCCTAGTTACCTCCCTAGTTACCCCTAGTTACCCCCCTAGTTACCCCTAGTTACCCCCCTAACTACCCCCCTAGTTACCCCTAGTTACCCCCCTAGTTACCCCCCTAGTTACCCCCCTAGTTACCCCTAGTTACCCCCCTAGTTACCCCTAGTTACCCCCCTAGTTACCCCTAGTTACACCCCTAGTTACCCCTAGTTACCCCTAGTTACCCCCTAGTTACCCCTAGTTACCCCCCTAGTTACCCCCCTAGTTACCCCCAAGTTACCCCCCTAGTTACCCCCCTAGTTACCCCCCTAGTTACCCCTAGTTACCCCCCTAGTCACCCCTAGTTACACCCCTAGTTACCCCCCTAGTTACCCCTAGTTACCCCCTATTTACCCCTAGTTACCCCCCTAGTTACCCCCCTAGTTACCCCCCTAGTCACCCCCCTAGTCACCCCCCTAGTCACCCCCCTAGTTACCCCCCTAGTTACTCCCCTAGTTACCCCTAGTTACCCCCCTAGTTACCCCCCTAGTTACCCCCCTAGTTACCCCTCAGTATTATTTGTAGTATTTGTATTATTATTAGTTGTAGTAGTATTATTATTAGTATTATTAGTATTTGTATTATTATTAGTAGTATTATTAGTAGTAGTATTTGTAGTATTATTAGTATTAGTAGTATTATTAGTAGTATTTGTAGTATTATTAGTAGTGTTATTAGTTTCGATTTAAAGCTTTCGTGACTGCAATGATTCATCTTCTTTGGTTCTTTCGGTAAAGTCACGTAGAATGAGAATAAAATAATAAATTGATAAAATAAAATAACACAATAATATTCTCACGACGTTTCGGCCACAACACAAGCGGCCTTCATCAGGTGAAGGGAGCGAGACTGTCTGGTAGGACAGCGCTGGAGTGAGAGAGCCACGTTCAGATCACGGCTTTTAAGCTGTGTGAGAGGAACAAGGAGCCTTGACGAAGGAATTAGCATAAAATTTAGCATTGAAAAGGCTGAATGATTAGCTTGTGACTGGTCACAGAAATAGCTATGTTAAAAGTTAAAGCATACACATCCGCAGAGGCACCCATTGTTAGAAGGAATTAGCATAGAATTTAGCATTGAAATAGCTAAATTAAGGCATTCGCTTGTAACTGCTGAACAGGGCCCGTAGCTATCCGTGGTACGGAAATTTGAGGGTAAGAATCCACCCATTTTTTCGCCATATAGCATTGTGATATATAACGACTTATGGTTGGTAGCTTAGCTGATTGGAGAATATAGAGTTTATTGATAACATGAAGGTAATTTATATTTTAGTTTTTATTGGTTCACTATATAGTACTGTGAATAGCTCAGATGTGTAGTCATTTCTGTGACCAGTCACTAGCAAATCACCCAGTTATTTCAATGCTAAATTCGCCTAGTTATTTCAATGCTAAATTCTCCTGTTTTGATTTGTACTAAGTGCCTCGGTGAATGTGTATGCTCTGACTTCAATGTAACTATTTCTGTAGCAGTTACAAGCGAATGCCTTAATTTAGCTATTTCAATGCTAAATTCTATGCTAATTCCTTCTAACAATGGGTGCCTCTGCGGATGTGTATGCTTTAACTTTTAACATAGCTATTTCTGTGACCAGTCACAAGCTAATCATTCAGCCTTTTCAATGCTAAATTTTATGCTAATTCCTTCGTCAAGGCTCCTTGTTCCTCTCACACAGCTTAAAAGCCGTGATCTGAACGTGGCTCTCTCACTCCAGCGCTGTCCTACCAGACAGTCTCGCTCCCTTCACCTGATGAAGGCCGCTTGTGTTGTGGCCGAAACGTCGTGAGAATATTATTGTGTTATTTTATTTTATCAATTTATTATTTTATTCTCATTCTACGTGACTTTACCGAAAGAACCAAAGAAGAAAGTGTTATTAGTATTTGTAGTAGTATTATTAGTATTTGTATTATTATTAGTAGTATTATTAGTAGTAGTATTTGTAGTATTATTAGTATTTGTATTATTAGTAGTATTATTAGTAGTAGTATTTGTAGTATTATTAGTATTTGTATTATTATTAGTAGTATTATTAGTAGTAGTATTTGTAGTAGTATTAGTATTATTATTAGTAGTATTTGTAGTATTATTAGTAGTGTTATTAGTATTTGTAGTAGTATTAGTAGTAGTAGTATTATTAGTAGTATTAATAGTAGTAGTAGTGTTATTAGTAGTAGTATTATTATTAGTAGTATTATTAGTATTATTTGTAGTAGTATTTGTAGTAGTATTAGTATTATTATTAGTAGTATTTGTAGTATTATTAGTAGTGTTATTAGTATTTGTAGTAGTATTAGTAGTAGTAGTATTAGTATTATTATTAGTATTAATAGTAGTAGTAGTGTTATTAGTAGTAGTATTATTATTAGTAGTATTATTAGTATTATTTGTAGTAGTATTTGTAGTATTATTATTTGTATTAGTATTCGTATTATTAGTATTATTATTAGTATTATTTGTAGTAGTATTTGTAGTATTATTAGTATTAGTAGTATTATTATTTGTATTAGTATTATTAGTAGTAGTATTATTAGTATTATTAGTGTTATTAGTATTATTATTAGTAGTATTATTAGTATTATTATTAGTGTTATTAGTATTATTTGTAGTAGTATTATTAGTAGTATTATTAGTAGTGTAATTAGTATTATTTGTAGTAGTATTAGTAGTATTATTATTAGTGTTATTAGTATTTGTATTATTAGTGTTATTAGTATTATTAGTATTATTATTAGTAGTGTTATTAGTATTATTTGTATTATTAGTGTCATTAGTATTATTAGTATTATTAGTAGTAGTGTTATTAGTATTATTTGTATTATTAGTGTTATTAGTATTATTAGTATTATTATTAGTAGTATTATTATTAGTGTTATTAGTAGTATTAGTAGTATTATTAGTATTATTTGTAGTAGTATTAGTAGTATTTGTAGTAGTATTAGTAGTATTATTAGTAGTGTTATTAGTAGTATTATTAGTAGTATTATTAGTATTATTATTAGTGTTATTAGTATTATTTGTAGTAGTATTATTAGTATTAGTAGTATTTGTAGTATTATTAGTAGTAGTATTTGTAGTAGTATTTGTATTATTAGTGTTATTAGTATTATTAGTAGTATTATTATTAGTAGTAGTGTTATTAGTATTATTTGTAGTAGTATTATTATTAGTGTTATTAGTATTATTATTAGTAGTATTAGTATTATTAGTAGTGTTATTAGTATTATTTGTAGTAGTATTATTATTAGTGTTATTATTATTAGTGTTATTAGTAGTATTAGTATTATTAGTAGTGTTATTAGTATTATTTGTAGTATTAGTATTATTATTAGTGGTATTAGTAGTAGTATTAGTATTATTAGTAGTAGTATTATTAGTATTATTATTAGTAGTATTATTAGTATTATTATTAGTAGTGTTATTAGTATTATTTGTAGTAGTATTTGTATTAGTATTATTATTAGTGTTATTAGTATTATTAGTAGTATTATTAGTATTATTATTAGTGTTATTAGTATTATTATTAGTAGTATTATTTGTAGTAGTATTTGTATTATTATTAGTAGTGTTATTAGTATTATTTGTAGTAGTATTATTAGTAGTGTTATTAGTATTATTTGTATTAGTATTTGTTGTCTGGTGTCACCGCAGGGAGCCCTGGGGAGGCCGCCCAGCGCAGCATGGAGGGTGCCGACGCCGCCGCCGGCGGGGGCATCACACGTGTGTCAACACGCGTGTGGGCACACGGCACCGGCTACTCACCCAGCAAGCTGTTCAACAAGGTGTAGAGACACTCACCACCACACTCACCACACTCACCACCACACACGTGTGTCAACACGCGTGTGGGCACACGGCACCGGCTACTCACCCAGCAAGCTGTTCAACAAGGTGTAGAGACACTCACCACCACACTCACCACCACACTCACCACCACACTCACCACCACACACGTGTGTCAACACGCGTGTGGGCACACGGCACCGGCTACTCACCCAGCAAGCTGTTCAACAAGGTGTAGAGACACTCACCACCACCACCACACTCACCACCACACACGTGTGTCAACACGTGTGTGGGCACACGGCACCGGCTACTCACCCAGCAAGCTGTTCAACAAGGTGTAGAGACACTCACCACCACACTCACCACACTCACCACCACACACGTGTGTCAACACGCGTGTGGGCACACGGCACCGGCTACTCACCCAGCAAGCTGTTCAACAAGGTGTAGAGACACTCACCACCACCACCACCACACTCACCACCACACACGTGTGTCAACACGCGTGTGGGCACATGGCACCGGCTACTCACCCAGCAAGCTGTTCAACAAGGTGTAGAGACACTCACCACCACCACCACACTCACCACCACACACGTGTGTCAACACGCGTGTGGGCACACGGCACCGGCTACTCACCCAGCAAGCTGTTCAACAAGGTGTAGAGACACTCACCACCACCACGCTCACCACCACACACGTGTGTCAACACGCGTGTGGGCACACGGCACCGGCTACTCACCCAGCAAGCTGTTCAACAAGGTGTAGAGACACTCACCACCACACTCACCACCACACTCACCACACTCACCACCACACACGTGTGTCAACACGCGTGTGGGCACACGGCACCGGCTACTCACCCAGCAAGCTGTTCAACAAGGTGTAGAGACACCACCACACTCACCACCACACTCACCACACTCACCACCACACACGTGTGTCAACACGCGTGTGGGCACACGGCACCGGCTACTCACCCAGCAAGCTGTTCAACAAGGTGTAGAGACACTCACCACCACCACCACACTCACCACCACACTCACCACCACACACGTGTGTCAACACGCGTGTGGGCACACGGCACCGGCTACTCACCCAGCAAGCTGTTCAACAAGGTGTAGAGACACTCACCACCACCACCACACTCACCACCACACACGTGTGTCAACACGCGTGTGGGCACACGGCACCGGCTACTCACCCAGCAAGCTGTTCAACAAGGTGTAGAGACACTCACCACCACGCTCACCACCACACTCACCACCACACACGTGTGTCAACACGCATGTGGGCACACGGCACCGGCTACTCACCCAGCAAGCTGTTCAACAAGGTGTAGAGACACTCACCACCACCACCACGCTCACCACCACGCTCACCACCACCACACTCACCACCACCACACTCACCACCACGCTCACCACCACCACACTCACCACCACCACACTCACCACCACACTCACCACCACCACACTCACCACCACCACGCTCACCACCATGCTCACCACCACGCTCACCACCACCACGCTCACCACCACCACGCTCACCCCCCCCAGCTGTTCCGTGACGACGTGAGCTACCTGCTGGCTATGGACAAGCTGTGGCGCAATCGGCGAGCACCCGTCCCATTAGACTGGGACAAGACCTGCGCCTCCGGTGAGGAGCGCTCACCACCACGCTCACCAGCACGCTCACCACCACGCTCACCACCACGCTCACCACCACGCTCACCACCACGCTCACCACCACGCTCACCACCACGCTCACCAGCACGCTCACCACCACGCTCACCACCACGCTCACCACCACGCTCACCAGCACGCTCACCAGCACGCTCACCACACTCGCTCACCACACCCGTCCCATTAGACTGGGACAAGACCTGCGCCTCCGGTGAGGAGCGCTCACCACCACGCTCACCACCACGCTCACCACCACGCTCACCACCACGCTCACCACCACGCTCACCACCACGCTCACCACCACGCTCACCACCACGCTCACCAGCACGCTCACCAGCACGCTCACCAGCACTCTCACCACCACGCTCACCACACTCGCTCACCACACCCGCCCACTCACTCACCTACTCACCCACTCACCTACTCACCCACTCACTCACCTACTCACCCACTCACCTACTCGCTCACCTACTCACCCACTCACTCACCCACTCACTCACCTACTCACCTACTCGCCCACTCACCTACTCGCTCACCTACTCACCCACTCACTCACCTACTCACCCACTCACCTACTCACCTACTCATCCACTCGCTCACCCACTCACTCACCTACTCGCTCACCCACTCGCTCACCTACTCAGCCACTCACTCACCTACTCACCCACTCACCCACTCGCTCACCTACTCACCCACTCACTCACCCACTCACTCACCTACTCACCCACTCACTCACTCACTCACCTACTCGCCCACTCACTCACCTACTCACCTACTCTCCCACTCACCTACTCGCTCACCTACTCACCCACGCACTCACCTACTCACCTACTCACCCACTCGCTCACCTACTCACCCACTCACCTACTCGCTCACCTACTCACCCACTCACTCACCCACTCACTCACCTACTCACCCACTCACTCACCTACTCACCTACTCTCCCACTCACCTACTCGCTCACCTACTCACCTACTCACCCACTCGCTCACCTACTCACCCACTCGCTCACCTACTCACCCACTCCCTCACCTCCTCACCCACTCGCTCACCTACTCACCCACTCACTCACTCGCTCACCCACTCACCCACTCACTCACCTACTCACCCACTCACCTACTCACCCACTCGCTCACCTACTCACCCACTCACCCACTCACCCACTCACTCACCTACTCACCTACTCACCCACTCACCCACTCGCTCACCTACTCACCCACTCGCTCACCTACTCACCCACTCACCAACCCACGCTGCTGATGCTGACGATGGTGGCGATGGCGACGTTGACTACGCTAGTAGCGGTGCTGTTGACGATGTTGTTGACGATGTTGTTGTTGACGATGTTGTTGTTGACGATGTTGTTGTTGACGATGTTGTTGTTGACGATGTTGTTGTTGACGATGTTGTTGTTGACGATGTTGTTGTTGATGGTTGTTGTTGACGATGTTGTTGACGATGTTGTTGTTGACGTTGTTGTTGACGATGTTGTTGTTGACGATGTTGTTGTTGACGATGTTGTTGTTGATGGTTGTTGTTGTTGACGATGTTGTTGTTGATGGTTGTTGTTGACAATGTTGTTGTTGACGATGTTGTTGTTGACGATGTTGTTGTTGACGATGTTGTTGTTGACGATGTTGTTGATGGTTGTTGTTGACGATGTTGTTGACGATGTTGTTGACGATGTTGTTGTTGACGATGTTGTTGACGATGTTGTTGTTGACGATGTTGTTGTTGACGATGTTGTTGTTGACGATGTTGTTGTTGACGATGTTGTTGATGGTTGTTGTTGACGATGTTGTTGTTGACGATGTTGTTGTTGACGATGTTGTTGACGACGTTGTTGTTGACGACGTTGTTGTTGACGATGTTGTTGTTGACGATGTTGTTGTTGACGATGTTGTTGTTGACGATGTTGTTGTTGACGATGTTGTTGTTGACGATGTTGTTGTTGACGATGTTGTTGATGGTTGTTGTTGACGATGTTGTTGTTGACGATGTTGTTGTTGGTTGTTGTTGACGATGTTGTTGTTGACGATATTGTTGTTGACGATGTTGTTGTTGATGGTTGTTGTTGACGATGTTGTTGTTGACGATGTTGTTGTTGATGGTTGTTGTTGACGATGTTGTTGTTGACGATGTTGTTGACGATGTTGTTGTTGACGATGTTGTTGTTGTTGACGATGTTGTTGTTGTTGACGATGTTGTTGTTGACGATGTTGTTGTTGACGATGTTGTTGTTGACGATGTTGTTGACGATGTTGTTGTTGACGATGTTGTTGTTGACGATGTTGTTGTTGACGATGTTGTTGACGATGTTGTTGTTGACGATGTTGTTGTTGATGGTTGTTGTTGACGATGTTGTTGACGATGTTGTTGTTGACGATGTTGTTGATGATGTTGTTGTTGACGATGTTGTTGACGATGTTGTTGTTGACGATGTTGTTGTTGACGATGTTGTTGACGATGTTGTTGTTGACGATGTTGTTGTTGACGATGTTGTTGTTGACGATGTTGTTGTTGACGATGTTGTTGATGGTTGTTGTTGACGATGTTGTTGTTGACGATGTTGTTGACGATGTTGTTGACGACGTTGTTGTTGACGACGTTGTTGTTGACGACGTTGTTGTTGACGATGTTGTTGACGATGTTGTTGTTGACGATGTTGTTGTTGACGATGTTGTTGATGGTTGTTGTTGACGATGTTGTTGATGGTTGTTGTTGACGATGTTGTTGTTGACGATGTTGTTGTTGACGATGTTGTTGTTGACGATGTTGTTGTTGACGATGTTGTTGTTGACGATGTTGTTGACGATGTTGTTGTTGACGATGTTGTTGTTGACGATGTTGTTGTTGACGATGTTGTTGTTGACGATGTTGTTGTTGACGATGTTGTTGTTGACGATGTTGTTGACGATGTTGTTGGTGACGATGTTGTTGTTGACGATGTTGTTGTTGACGATGTTGTTGACGATGTTGTTGTTGACGATGTTGTTGTTGACGATGTTGTTGATGGTTGTTGTTGACGATGTTGTTGACGATGTTGTTGACGATGTTGTTGACGATGTTGTTGTTGACGATGTTGTTGATGTTGTTGTTGACGATGTTGTTGACGATGTTGTTGACGTTGTTGTTGACGATGTTGTTGTTGACGATGTTGTTGACGATGTTGTTGTTGACGATGTTGTTGTTGACGATGTTGTTGTTGATGGTTGTTGTTGACGATGTTGTTGACGATGTTGTTGTTGACGATGTTGTTGACGATGTTGTTGTTGACGATGTTGTTGACGATGTTGTTGTTGACGATGTTGTTGTTGACGATGTTGTTGACGATGTTGTTGTTGACGATGTTGTTGTTGACGATGTTGTTGTTGATGGTTGTTGTTGACGATGTTGTTGTTGACGATGTTGTTGACGATGTTGTTGTTGACGATGTTGTTGACGATGTTGTTGTTGACGATGTTGTTGTTGACGATGTTGTTGTTGATGGTTGTTGTTGACGATGTTGTTGTTGACGATGTTGTTGTTGGAGGTGACGGCGAGAACCTTCCTGGTGCTGTGAGCGATAGCGGCCTCCTCAAAGAGCAGCTGTTGCTGGGACCCCCGGCGCTAGCTCAGCTGTTCGCTAGCAGTGTGCAGCGACTCCACAAGCAGCTGGTAGACAAGGGGAGTCAGCTGGTCTGGGACAAGGTGAGCTCACCACGGGTACACTCACCACGGGTACACTCACCACTGGTACACTCACCACTAGTACACTCACCACTAGTACACTCACCACTACACTCACCACTAGTACACTCACTACTACACTCACCACGGGTACACTCACCACGGGTACACTCACCACTGGTACACTCACCACTAGTACACTCACTACTAGTACACTCACCACTAGTACACTCACTACTACACTCACCACTAGTACACTCACCACTACTACACTCACTACTACTACACTCACCACTACACTCACCACTACTACACTCACCACTACTACACTCACCACCCCTACACTCACCACTACTCACCACTACTCACCCCTACACTCACCACTACTCACCACTACTCACCACTACACTCACCACTACTCACCACTACTCACCCCTACTCACCACTACTCACCCCTACACTCACCACTACTCACCACTACACTCACCACTACTCACCACTACTCACCCCTACACTCACCACTACTCACCACTACTCACCACTACTCACCACTACACTCACCACTACTCACCACTACTCACCACTACACTCACCACTACTCACCACTACTCACCACTACTCACCACTACTCACCCCACGTGTGCTGTAGGACGATGCGGCCTCCATGGACTTTGTGACTGCAGCTGCGAACCTGCGCATGGCCGTGTTCGGTCTGACTCCAACGAGCAGCTTCAACGTCAAGGGTGAGGCACCTGGTGACGGTGGTGGTGGTGGTGACGGTGGTGACGGTGGTGGTGGTGGTGGTGGTGGTGACGGTGGTGATGGTGGTGTTGACGGTGGTGGTGGTGGTGGTGGTGACGGTGGTGGTGGTGGTGGTGACCGTGGTGGTGGTGGTGACGGTGGTGGTGGTGACGGTGGTGGTGGTCACGGTGGTGGTGGTCACGGTGGTGGTGGTCACGGTGGTGGTGGTGACGGTGGTGGTGGTGGTGGTGGTGGTGGTGGTGGTGACGGTGGTGGTGGTGGTGGTGACTGTGGTGACTGTGGTGGTGATGGTGGTGGTGGTGACTGTGGTGGTGGTGGTGGTGACGGTGGTGGTGGTGGTGACGGTGGTGGTGGTGACTGTGGTGGTGGTGGTGGTGGTGGTGGTGACGGTGGTGGTGACGGTGGTGGTGGTGGTGACGGTGGTGACGGTGGTGGTGGTGACTGTGGTGGTGACTGGGGTGGTGACTGTGGTGGTGGTGGTGATGGTGACGGTGGTGACGGTGGTGGTGGTGGTGACGGTGGTGGTGACGGTGGTGGCGGTGGTGACGGTGGTGACGGTGGTGGTGGTGGTGGTGACTGTGGTGGTGACTGTGGTGGTGGTGATGGTGACGGTCGTGGTGGTGGTGGTGACGGTGGTGGTGGTGACGGTGGTGACGGTGGTGGTGACGGTGGTGGTGACGGTGGTGACGGTGGTGACGGTCATGGTGGTGACGGTAGTGACGGTGGTGGTGGTGACGGTGGTGGTGACAGTGGTGGTGACAGTGGTGGTGGTGACGGTGGTGGTGGTGGTGACTGTGGTGGTGACGGTGACGGTGGTGGTGACGGTGGTGGTGGTGACGGTGGTGGTGGTGGTGGTGGTGACGGTGGTGGTGACGGTGGTGGTGGTAGTGGTGGTGACGGTGGTGGTGGTGGTGACTGTGGTGACTGTGGTGGTGACGGTGGTGGTGGTGGTGACTGTGGTGGTGGTGGTGATGGTGGTGACGGTGGTGGTGGTGGTGACTGTGGTGGTGGTGGTGGTGGTGACGGTGGTGGTGGTGGTGACGGTGGTGGTGGTGGTGACTGTGGTGGTGGTGACTGTGGTGGTGACTGTGGTGGTGACTGTGGTGGTGGTGATGGTGACGGTGGTGGTGGTGGCGGTGGTGGTGGTGACGGTGGTGACGGTGGTGGTGGTGGTGACTGTGGTGGTGGTGGTGGTGACGGTGGTGGTGACGGTGGTGGTGGTGGTGGTGACGGTGGTGGTGGTGGTGACTGTGGTGGTGACTGTGGTGGTGATGGTGACGGTGGTGGTGGTGACGGTGGTGGTGGTGACGGTGGTGGTGACGGTGGTGGTGACGGTAGTGACGGTGGTGGTGGTGACGGTGGTGGTGACAGTGGTGGTGACAGTGGTGGTGGTGACGGTGGTGGTGGTGACAATGACGGTGGTGGTGACGGTGACGGTGGTGGTGACGGTGGTGGTGGTGACAATGACGGTGGTGGTGGTGGTGACGGTGGTGGTGGTGGTGGTGGTGGTGACGGTGGTGGTGACGGTGGTGGTAGTGGTGGTGACGGTGGTGGTGGTGACGGTGACGGTGGTGGTGGTAGTGGTGGTGGTGGTGACGGTGGTGGTGACGGTGGTGGTGGTGGTGGTGGTGACAGTGATGATGGTGGTGGTGACGGTGGTGGTGGTGGTAGTGGTGGTGGTGACAGTGGTGGTGACTGTGATGGTGATGGTGGTGACGGTGGTGGTGGTGGTGGTGACGGTGGTGGTGGTGGTGGTGACGGTGGTGGTGGTGACGGTGGTGATGGTGGTGTTGACGGTGGTGT